AGTCGACGGTGTTTGTGCGCATGCGTATTCATATCTGGCAGATACATATCCAGACTGTTGATCAACAGATTTCCTTTTTGTAATTAATTGACCACTTTATGTGCATATTTCAGCGAAAGCCAACTTTCATTGTTCATCAGGTGACACTTTTGATATATAAATGCAATATTAAAAGTTAAAACTTTGTTTTACCGTGATGTCGCTTTAATTAATCCGACAAATATTGCAGAGATGAAATGTTTGTGCAAAAGAAATTAAACACATGCCATTTTCTGAGACAGCGAGTTGGGATCAACCAAACACAATACAGAGCAGATTGATCGGTAGTGTTCTGACAGAGAAAGTCGTTTTAAAGTCATCAGGTTCGGACAGATATCATTACGGTCTAGTTACCTGCCATTTACTGGAGGAGTTTCAGTACCTGAAGGTACATGAACATGATAAATGACCTCACTGGACATGAGTTATGAGTTACTAGTAACTAATATCATATTCGAAAATTTCTACAGCTCGAAAACCTTGTCTTGAAGATTTTCCAGCCAGCCTTCAACATCTATCACCCAAAACCTTTCCAACTGCACCATGTAAACATTTGAGGGGGTTAAGAAGTAAAAATTAAGATATTGAACAGTCACGATAGTTTTATGTTAACTTGGTGTCATGTTCATAATTATGCAAAATGAAAATTGGTAGAAACAAACGTATATGAAACATATTGAACTTAAATAATATACACAGCAATGTTTGTCTTATGAAATATTCAGATATAACGGGGTAATTAAAAAATGTATAGTTCACCACCCATGTACCGATTCAACAATGATGGATACAGGTCTAAAGGGGTGTAATCTTTATAAAAAATCTTGCTTTCTTACCAAAATAAAAAAGGAAATCATATATCCGGTGATAACAGACGGAAAAAGAATCGATATTATAAAAAAGATAAAGTTAATAATAAAAAAAGAAAGAAAAAAAAACCCCAATAAAGACGATTTTATAGCAATGCGTAGATTGTTTTGTTTACACAATATACACAGACACACTGTGGATTATACATAAATGCGCGAATTCCATCAGAAAGTTACTGAGCATGTCGAATCGTGTATGGACAGAACAGGGTCTTAGAAAAAAGATTTTGTGTCTAATGAATAATCAATTAGATTAAGATCAAGATAGGTCTTTTTTAGAACGCAAAGGAATTCATATGATACTGACGTCACGAAATAAAGCTGTTGTTGTAAATACAGATATAGTGGTGTAGAAGCATCAGATAAACGCTCGCTGTAAAGGACTTAACTCATTTACAACACAAACACACACCCGTATGTAGCTTCTATCATACACAGACTATACTGAATATACAGTAATTAACGAGAGACGGTCTAATAGTGAATGGTACATCTTACGACAGGAGTTGTATCTATTATGTATATTGAAAGCCGTTAGATCTTACACTATGTTATTGGATTTACACATTTGCTAAATCATTAAGCTATTTTGTACTTGTATTACATTCCCGGGGACGTGATAATTGTGATATTATCATTGCCACTTCCTGTTTAAAATGACATTTAAATATATATTGGAAAATATCTCTTCAGTTATTATAACCAGTGATTCAGATATTAAAGATTATTTGTATAGGTTTCTGTCAAAGTTGTATCACTTTCCTGAATAAATTAATCATTTCTTAATATAAATTATCGCGCTCTCCTGATGGAATGATACGTAATTATATAAAAAAGCAAATTAACGTTATCCAATACGGAACGTCAACACATTAAAAGCATTGAAATGGTTGAGAAGTAGCTGTTTATACATGGATTGGTTAGACTATTCTATAACAGGTTTCTGAACAAATATCAATAACATAAATGACGACTGATTGACAAGTAGAACATTACAGTAATAGTGGACCAACTATATCTATAGCTATTCTTCAAAACCTACTGCCAGTAGCACGATCAAGCCATGGATTGTCAGTAAAAGTTGAGAGGCTGTTGAGATTGGCCCCGATCAGCTTAAGAACATATTTAACTATACGAGAATGCTTGATTAGAATGTCTATCTGTGCTTAATGACGTCATGTATTGAAGAATTCGTCAGGGTAAAGATCAAATATGAAGATGTTAGTATGGTTGGAATTTAATCTCGTCTAACGTTTATTTCAAGGTTATGTTCTCCGTAAGTTGTTATTCAAACAGGCAAACAGAAAGGAAACAGAAATTACCTGGCAAGAATACATTTACCGCAGAATGAAGGTAGTCAGACAACGGTTAATGAAGATAGATAATCTCAAACTCAAAATCGATATCACGAAGGCAAAATATAAACAAAAGATAAGTTACACGAAGTATATAGAAAGTAAGAGCATGCTCTGCATTCCGAAACGGTTAGAGTTTTTTTTTATCGACGACATCTTCTTAGTAAAACTTTATCAAAATAGGTAATGACACGTCATCAAACGAGAACATTAATTATAGCAATGAGATAATGAAGGAACATGTTTCAGTTAATTTGCTCGACTATAGAGAAACAAAAACATGTGCTTGTGAAGACCTGTTCCTGTTACCTCATGTTAATTTATATAAAAGATGTTTCAGTCTACAAGACAAACTTTAAGGTCGCTACTGCAATATATAATTCTATTGCCGCCCTTGTGTTCCGTAATCATGGATAGTAGTTGGTGTCTCATGCGGTGATTGGGAACCAGTAAGAGAATACAAGGTGTAACTTAAACTTTATTTCTAACTCAAAATCGATAAAACAGAGAAAGATTTAAACTCGGAGTCTAAGGAGTATTGTGTTTTATTGAAGGTGTCCGTCCTATAAATCACTACAAAACCTATACTTCTAAGTATTTAATACATCGACTCTGTTTAGGATAAGTAAAGGTCGGGATCACCTTGTTTGTTGTGTCACTAGAGAGCCACATCGACAACACCTAGTGTAACAAAGGATTTTACTGCAGAAATATGATTCACTTCGGGAACACCCAGCATCAGAAAAGTTTTGATGTTCGGATAGAAACCAACATCGGGAACACACGTGTCACAATGGGTTAATTGTGGCGATAGAAACAAAATTCGAGAACACATGGTGTCACATTGGGTTTATTGTGACGATAGAAACCCATTTCGAGAACACATAGTGTCACAATGGGCTTATTGTGACGATAGAAACAAAATTCGAGAACACATGGTGTCACATTGGGTTTATGAAATTCATTTCAAAATTAAATGCTTAAGTTCCTTTCATCAATTCTTACAGAACTAAACTCTGAAAAAGTCATTATGATCTACAAGTATATTTCTCCTGGTGAGAAGAGAGATAACTCTGTCAACTTAATGTTACACGATGGCGAAACACAAACCTTAAACATGCTGAAGTAAATTTTTCACCACAACTCTGTGTAGAAAGTCGTTCAATAATCTGTTTTGATGAATGTTTTGCCGAGTCTGTACTGATTTCTTGTTCATTCTGGTAAAAGTGTACATCAGGTATATTATAATATTCGGTTGCTGGTCTGATTGGAATTCTACCAATTAATAATATATCTATACCCTTATAAGGAGTGTACTGATATTGTATAGTGATTTCAAGGAAAGGACATGTATTATGTTTTTACTTTTAACTGGTATGTCTTTTGTACAATTTATCGGCACGATTTCGTAACAAGCCCAGTCTAGTAAGACCAGTTTACACATATAATCACATTCTCTCTATGTATATATGATTTATATACATCAAAGACTGTACAAAAAGGCCACCAACAGTGTCTACCACTCCTATCTCAAAATTATACTAAATAGGTTAACCTTTAGAAACAGCAACTTTACACTTAGTCATAAGTTTTTCCTTACATCATATGATATCTGCTTGGTACGCTTCAAAGACTGATCTGTTACTGCTTCACATACTCTTCTACATACACCAACCTTACTTCACGTAAAATCCAGGATTAAACAGACAACAACATGCAGTCTAAGGATTTCAGCTGCTGTGATATCTTGAAGCTTTGTCACGAGAGTAGCACATTAAATTATATAGAAATATATCGAATGTCATTTTCCCTCTTTTGTCAAATTAGTAACTGAAATGTATGGTTAGGTTTTCAATTCTTTAAGAAATGTTATAATCTTTCTGTCACACGGGGCTCCAAAATGTTTCGAGTTGGTAAGCTCATGTTATCCACAACATAATTCTCTTTTGTGTTGTTATTGTACATTTCTATTTTGTGTTTATGGCTTGTCAGTGTGAATGTATTTCTCACAACTACTATGATGTTCAAATGATTTAGTACATTTCAATGTAAATTTAGAATCAGAAACATCAGAGCCAAAGAATGAGTTGAAATGAATCATCTACAGCTATTTCGTCCTTCAAAGATGCGAAGTACCTACATTTTTAAACTCAAGAGGCGATGAAGAAATCAAACTTGGTAGAAACAATTTTCAAAAAACAATACGACGAGGTACATTTGCCCCAAAATTAAATGAATTTCAATTTTCAGTATTGGATAACTGGATAACGTGACAAATTTTGTATTCCTCAAACCGTAAGATGTTTAAGGTCAAAGTTTAAAGGTATATAAAGATATTTGTATTGATATATTCTATATCAATTATATTTGATAGACTACAAATACTGAAAAAGTATATATCCAAGGCCAGTCATATTTCTGCGATCAGTAATACATCAATACTCTAGCAATGTTTTGTGTAGAAACTTTTTTTCTTGAAACAGATTCTATATTTATCAACGTGAAAGGGATTAATCCTACATTAACACAAGTTGACACACACACCGGGACCTGTGACCGCACAACCGGACCTGCCTTATCATCGTTTTCAGGTCCCGTTTATCTTATTACAGCGATCATTTTGCATCACATATCGCAAGCTCCGATAAGATAAGAGTTTGGACAATGTCATAGGGGCCTGGCGGAGAGATCCTGGCCAGTTCTAGGTCGTCTTCTCCTCCAGTAGCCAGTCTCCACCATGCTCCGTCTCGTCGTGTTGTCCTGTCTCGCCGTCTTGGCTTATTCAGAAGATCCATGTTGTGCTCCAATGAAATGGAATGGAGTGCAGTCGATGGTCATCGCTAGCATGCCGAATGGTGGAGTAGCGCCTGCAGTGACCAGGGTAAAAATTATCTCTATAATCGCTTTATATATTGGAAATTGATTGGAAAACTGCAGATATCCTCTTCACGTCTACATTTGTGATAGTCTTATTGTCAATAAGAGAAGTGTAGAACAAACAAATGAAACTATTGCAAATTATATATACAAGTTTGTTTGTATGCACAATTTCGAAACACCAACTGTAACGAAAATAGAATGACCATATCCTTCATTTTGTTCATTTGAACAGTTCTAGATATTTATTCAATATGAACGTAATATTCAGAATACCAAAACAAGTTATCGATGCGTAAAAATGCATTCAACCTTGATATAAATTAGACAAAGGAGAACTTTCTTCGCAAGATATTTGATACTGTTTTTGTTGGATAGGATATACGAAATATGATATAGTTGTTTTGCCTTTTCTAGGATTCACGGAAAGTGATCATAATGAAGGTAATTGTTACTGTATCAGATAATCGTTTCAGGCTTCCTACATGGTGAATGTTGACTCTGAGAGGCACATGCTATCCCTGACAGGAACGTCAGAGACAAACGGAGTTGTATCAAACGTCAAGGTTCTAACAGACTACGCAAAGGTTAGTGGTATGGTTGTTAAATACAACAGTATAATAACAGTAGATCTAAACCGAGTACCAAATATCATGTAATAGTTTTTTCTATACCGAGTACCAAATATCATGTCATAGTTTATCTATACCGATAGTTTATCTATACCGCGTACCAAATATCATGTCATAGTTTATCTATACCGAGTACCAAATAAATATGTCATAGTTTATCTATACCGAGTACCAAATATCATGTAATACTTTATCTATACCGAGTACCAAATATGTAATAGTTTATCTATACCGAGTACCAAATATCATGTCATAGTTTATCTATACCGAGTACCAAATACCATGTCATAGTTTATCTATACCGAGTACCAAATATGTAATAGTTTATCTATACCGAGTACCAAATATCAACAGCAGTGCATTTACACCATGTTCTTGATAAAAATTATGTGATACACAAAAAACTTACAAATGAATAGCAACCATAACTTAACAAAAAATCATAGGTCTTATAATTCAAAAGAACCTCAAGTACATGCCATAAATTCTGAACTTTGACACTTTCTAAATGAATTTTAACAAACTTAGAAATTATAGATAGATAAAACAATAAAGACCTTATAACTGACTTAATTTGTTTTGTTTTATGGTTTGGGTATTTTTTCATTCTAAACATTATCTGCATAAACACTGACTTGATAACCACGAAATGCAGAATAGGTTAGCATGATCAGTAGTCACTATTAAAGTCTAAAAATGATCCTAATTATCGCTGATGTGTAACGTACCGGATTTTATTATTACAGGGTGTGCAATACCTTGTAACTAACGGCACGTGCTCAAAGTCGGTCTCTGGGCAAGACCCAGGACACTGTGTACCAGGTAAAAATATTCCAAATATTGCAAAGTCTGACTATTGTTCATTATGATATCTATCACAGAGCCAAAATATGCAAATTTATTATGTCCACATACTACCAAAGAATTGTGTATTATATATATACGACCATCATTTGTGTAAAATAGATCCACACTACCATCATTTGTGTACAATAGATCCTGACACTACCATCATTAGTGTACAATAGATCCACGTACTGCCATCATTTGTGTACAATAGATCCACGTACTACCATCATTTGTGTACAATAGATCCACGTACTACCATCATTTGTGTACAATAGATCCACGTACTACCATCATTTGTGTACAATAGATCCACGTACTACCATCATTTGTGTACAATAGATCCACACTACCATCATTAGTGTACAATAGATCCACGTACTACCATCATTTGTGTACAATAGTGAGTTTACAATAGATCCACACTACCATCATTTGTGTACAATAGATCCACACTACCATCATTAGTGTACAATAGATCCACACTACCATCATTTGTGTACAATAGATCCACGTACTACCATCATTTGTGTACAATAGATCCACGTACTACCATCATTTGTGTACAATAGATCCACGTACTGCCATCATTTGTGTACAATAGATCCACGTACTACCATCATTTGTGTACAATAGATCCACGTACTACCATCATTTGTGTACAATAGATCCACACTACCATCATTTGTGTACAATAGATCCACACTTCCATCATTTGTGTACAATAGATCCACATACTGCCATCATTTGTGTACAATAGATCCACGTACTGCCATCATTTGTGTACAATAGATCCACGTACTGCCATCATTTGTGTACAATAGATCCACGTACTGCCATCATTTGTGTACAATAGATCCACGTACTGCCATCATTTGTGTACAATAGATCCACGTACTGCCATCATTTGTGTACAATAGATCCACGTACTACCATCATTAGTGTACAATAGATCCACGTACTACAATCATTTGTGTACAATAGATCCTGATAAAACTACATAAAGACATACTACCATAAACAGTGTATTAAAGAACCACATACTACCATAATGTTTGTATCGCTGATCCATACATGGCTACAGTGTCTGAACTTTTGAAGTACAGTATTTCTAAATCGTTTTCAGCCAATTCTACTGTATCCGGACACGGATTCCTTGGCGTGGGAGCCAATGCAGCCAATGTGACACAATACACATTCTCTATTGACGGAATGACCGCCTACCTCACCGTCACAGACAAATGCGTACCAGTCGCTGAAACCTACTATGGAATCACAAACGGAAGTATGTACAGCGAAACCACCCCAGAGATACGTTAAATCATCACCCTATAACCATGAGAGAAATGATTGTTAATGTCCTCTCACACTTAGATAAAAAAAATAACTAGATAAACCGGACTGGTCAACCAAACCAACATCCTATAACAATAAACTTTGTATCACGGAGATTTATATGACATATTCGTCCTTTACCATTTTATTCTACCTCTGACATAACCTATCCTATCTTTGCAGCCTATTCCTTTTCGTCCATTGCCTTCACCGGTATTAAGGGTGGCATTGCTGATGATACTGTATTCAATCTACCAAGCGAGTGTGCACTCGGTACCGGAACTATCGTAAGTATTTAACACACTGTGTATCCTACATTCTATAAGCTTTTAGCGTAACAATACATAACCTGTTAAATGAGGTGCTGTTACTGTAGAAGTCCTCGTCACTATTACGTCCTATTACTGTGATAGTAATATTAGAGGTGTGATGATATACTGGGTGTTGTAGGTGTAAATCTGTATACCTAGACCTACAGGGGAAGGGTATCTGTACGTTAAAGTTTTGTGCTTATTTACCTCGCAATTGTACGGAAGCGTATTCCGGCCACGTTGTGTTTTATTTTATCTCGAAATTTCGAGATAGCAACTCGAAATTTTGAGTTAGTAACTCGAAATTTCAAGTTGCTCTCTCGAAATTTTGGGTTAATATCTCAAAATTTCGGATTACTACCTAAAAATTTCGGATTACTAAGTCGACATTTCGAGTTACTATCTCGAAATTTCGAGTTAAGATAAAACACAACGTGGCCGGAATACGCTTCCGTACAATTGTTAGGGTTCGTGAGCACTATACGAGGGAAAGATGTCCAAATGAGAATGGATTGTACTGTAGTATATTACATCGTTTTTCTTCTTTTTACAGAATGGTGGTTTCAACTTCGGACGTCGTAGTCATTTCGCTTAAATCGAACACATCACTAAAACATTGAGTGACACAACACTAGCTCAGGGGGAGGGTTGGGGAGGGTCCTAAGTCTAGATACTAAATCTGGATACATCATTCTCAGGGTGTCATTACATAAATAAATATTAATAAACTATTGTGTTTTTTTATGTTTTAATACGATTTCTTAACCGAAAGTCAGAATCTACACCAACTTCAAAGAGAAAACTTTTGTATTGATTTTTCTATGTAATTATATCTTTATCTTATTTCCTTCTGAAAAAGGTATAGAAAGTAAAAACTAACTCAATTTATATCATGTTGACACGACCGTATTGGCTGTTTTTATATTTGAAAGTAATATCTTTAAAGAGAAAACACCTAGAATGTAATAATAGCATATATCAGAATGCCACGTCGGTACTGGCTGTTTTTATATCTGAATGAGATTTCTTCACAAACAAACACCTAGAATGTAATAATAGCATATATCAGAATGCCACGTCGGTACTGGCTGTTTTTATATCTGAATGAGATTTCTTCACAAACAAACACCTAGAAAGTCAAAACTGATCATGCATCACATAAGTCCTCATTTGAAAATAATTGGACTACCGCTTACATTTCATCTACCTGCGCCGTGATGAGATGGGTAATGATATTGTAGTCGAGCTCATCTGTTTGTAAGCTGAACAAACAATGGGATATAATAACTGTATGAAATGGCGGTGGTAATATTCTATAAGAAGAATTAATTATTTTTTTCAATAATTTGAAAACATGAGAAAGAAGAATATTTTACACAAAAATTAAGTATCATATGCCATTGAATAAAAACATGTAGTAAAAAAGTGGTGGGTTATCGGCCTATCAGACAAAAAGGGTGAAGTAGAGAACAGTACAACTTGAAGGAAAATACTTAAATGTGTAGGAAAACACGTAAAATCTCTTGAAAAACAGAAAAATCTGTAGGAAAGGAGTAAAATCTGTAGGGAAACAATACAAAAAACGCAGGCATGTGAATGTAAATTATCTGATTTTAAACTACTGACTTTATACATAATGTAGATAACCGACATACTTCTCGTTGCAGTCGTTCTTTCTAGCTCGTCCATTATATTACAGTTGACCTTAACGGAGTAACGTAAGCTCCGGTACCATCACCTAATGCTAACTTAAAGCTTACAAAAATACCTTGTTCACCCGTATATTTTCATACGATAGTCATAAAGACACGCGTAAAATACAAGATCACTGGACAAATATGGTTACAACTCCCCGTATCTTCCTTCCTTCTTGTGCTGTAGAAATGAACTTATTATCATTTCTGTGAGCGATGTTCAACTCTCGATGTGTCCAGCTGTCCGCTTGAGCCAATCTTTATTTGTAACAAATATGGACGAAAAAAGTACAAGACAACGTTACAGTTAATATAACTGGTTCAGGGCAAAGACTGTAGTCAGGTCGGTAGACGATAGTAACCCTCTCCCCTGGTTCTGGGGTAAGACTGTAGTCAGGTCGGTAGACGATAGTAACCCTCTCCCCTGGTTCAGGGCTAAGACTGTAGTCAGGTCGGTAGACGATAGTAACCCTCTCCCCTGGTTCTTGGGTAAGACTGTAGTCAGGTCGGTAGACGATAGTAACCCTCTCCCCTGGTTCAGGGCTAAGACTGTAGTCAGGTCGGTAGACGATAGTAACCCTCTCCCCTGGTTCTGGGGTAAGACTGTAGTCAGGTCGATAGACGATAGTAACCCTCTCCCCTGGTTCTGGGGTAAGACTGTAGTCAGGTCGGTAGACGATAGTAACCCTCTCCCCTGGTTCTGGGGTAAGACTGTAGTCAGGTCGGTAGACGATAGTAACCCTCTCCCCTGGTTCTGGGGTAAGATTGTACCTAGATAGCAAGACGATAGTAACCCTCTCCCCTGGTTCTGGGGTAAGACTGTAGTCAGGTCGGTAGACGATAATAACCCTCTCCCCTTTTATGGGGTAAAACTGTAGTCAGGTCGATAGACGATAGTAACCCTCTCCCCTGGTTCTGGGGTAAGACTGTAGTCAGGTCGATAGACGATAGTAACCCTCTCCCCTGGTTCTGGGGTAAGACTGTACCTAGATAGTAAGACGATAGTAACCCTCTCCCCTGGTTCTGGGGTAAGACTGTAGTCAGGTCGGTAGACGATAGTAACCCTCTCCCCTGGTTCTGGGGTAAGACTGTACCTAGATAGTAAGACGATAGTAACCTCTCCCCTGGTTCTGGGGTAAGACTGTAGTCAGGTCGGTAGACGATAGTAACCCTCTCCCCTGGTTCTGGGGTAAGACTGTAGTCAGGTCGGTAGACGATAGTAACCCTCTCCCCTGGTTCTGGGGTAAGACTGTAGTCAGGACGATAGACGATAACCCTTTCCCCTGGTTCTGGGGTAAGACTGTACCTAGATAGTAAGACGATAGTTACCCTCTTCCCTAATTCTGGGGTAAGACTGTAGTCAGGTCGGTAGACGATAGTTACCCTCTCCCCTGGTTCTTGGGTAAGACTGTAGTCAGGTCGGTAGACGATAGTTACCCTCTCCCCTGGTTCTGGGGTAAGACTGTAGTCAGGTCGGTAGACGATAGTAACCCTCTCCCCTGGTTCTGGGGTAAGATTGTACCTAGATAGCAAGACGATAGTAACCCTCTCCCCTGGTTCTGGGGTAAGACTGTAGTCAGGTCGGTAGACGATAATAACCCTCTCCCCTTTTATGGGGTAAGACTGTAGTCAGGTCGATAGACGATAGTAACCCTCTCCCCTGGTTCTGGGGTAAGACTGTAGTCAGGTCGGTAGACGATAGTAACCCTCTCCCCTGGTTCTGGGGTAAGACTGTACCTAGATAGTAAGACGATAGTAACCCTCTCCCCTGGTTCTGGGTTAAGACTGTAGTCAGGTCGGTAGACGATAGTAACCCTCTCCCCTGGTTCTGGGGTAAGACTGTAGTCAGGTCGGTAGACGATAGTAACCCTTTCCCCTGGTTCTGGGGTAAGACTGTACCTAGATAGTAAGACAATAGTAACCCTTTCCCCTGGTTCTGGGGTAAGACTGTACCTAGATAGTAAGACAATAGTAACCCTCTCCCCTGGTTCTGGGGTAAGACTGTAGTCAGGTCGGTAGACGATAGTATGACTGTAGTAAGGTGTAGGATGTCACGATAATGACGTTACTAAGGTCTGTGTATAGACAGCATGGCTCAATCACAAAGAATACCGAGTGATCAAGATAAGGAAGTTAAACAATGTGATATTTACAGTGATTGATATATAGTATAACAATGCGGACATTCGATACATTTACATTGTGTATGTATCGCTCGCTCAAATCCACCGCACACCACGGATATCGTTAACGAATCAACGATGTAATACTCCAATATTGCTTGCTCGTTACACGACGTCAGAAAAGAAAAATAATGTCCAATACATTCATTATCAAGGGGTCAGCTTTACTCACCGGACATGTTCATCGTCGGGGGAAAATTGTGTTGGAAACCTGCTTAAAAGAAACCTAAACAGGACGGTAGATAAGTAGGACAGTAGGTAAGTATTATATAACAATCATATAGGTAATGCAGGAATGTTATACTGTAGTAAGTGTAGGTATTGTTGATAAGTAGGACAGTAGATAAGTAGGACGGTAGATAAGTAGGAAGGTAGATAATTAGGACAGTAGGTAAGTATAACATACGTAATATAGGATTGTTATACTGTAGTATGTGTACATATTGTAGATAAGTAGGACGGTAGATAAGTAGGACGGTAGGTAATGTAGGAATGTTATACTGTAGTATGTGTAGGCATTGTAGATAAGTAGGACGGCAGAGAAGTAGGACGGTAGATAAGTAAGACGGTAGATACGTAGGACGGTAGATAAGTAGGGCAGTAGGTAAGTAGGACGGTAGATAAGTAGGACGGTAGATAAGTAGGACGTAGGTAAGTAGGACGGTAGATAAGTAGGACGGTATGTAAGTAGGACGGTAGATAAGTAGGACGGTAGATAAGTAGGATGGTAGGTAAGTAGGACGGTAGATAAGTAGGGCAGTAGGTAAGTAGGACGGTAGATAAGTAGGACGGTAGATAAGTAGGACGTAGGTAAGTAGGGCAGTAGGTAAGTAGGACGGTAGATAAGTAGGGCAGTAGGTAAGTAGGACGGTAGATAAGTAGGACGGTAGATAAGTAGGACGTAGGTAAGTAGGGCAGTAGGTAAGTAGGACGGTAGATAAGTAGGGCAGTAGGTAAGTAGGACGGTAGATAAGTAGGACGGTAGATAAGTAGGACGTAGGTAAGTAGGACGGTAGATAAGTAGAACGGTAGATAAGTGGGAAAGTAGATAAGTAGGACGGTAGATAAGTAGGAAAGTAGATAAGTAGGACGGTAGGTCAGTAGGACGGTAGGTAAGTATAACATACGTAATGTAGGAATGTTATTGCTAAATGATGATTGATATATCAAATGTTTGCCCTCTTTAATCAGAAGAACATGTAGTATATATCGATATCAGGGAGGGTGATATTGATATCATTGAGGGTGATATTGATATCAGGGAGGGTGGATATTGATATCAGGGAGGATGGATATTGATATCAGGGAGAGTGATATTGATATCATTGAGAGTGATATTGATATCAGGGAGGGTGGATATTGATATCAGGGAGGGTGGTATTGATATCAGGGAGGGTTATATTGATATCAGGGAGGGTGATATTGATATCAGAGAGGGTGATATTGATATCAGGGAGGGTGATATTGATATAAGGGAGGGTGATATTGATATCGGGGGTGGGGGTGGATATTGATATCAGGGAGAGTGATATTGATATTATTGAGGGTGATATTGATTACAGGGAGGGTGATATTGATATCAGGGAGGGTGATTTTGATATCAGGGAGAGTGATATTGATATCAGGGAGGGTGATGTTGATATCAGGGAGGGTGATATTGATATCATTGAGGGTGATATTAATATCAGGGAGAGTGATATTGATATCAGGGAGAGTGATATTGATATCAGGGAGGGTGATATTGATATCAGGTGGAGGGTGATATTGATATCAGGGAGGGTGATATTGATATCAGGGAGAGTGATATTGATATCATCGAGGATGATATTGATATCAGGGAGGATGGATATTGATATCAGGGAGGGTGATATTGATATCAGGGAGGGTGATGTTGATATCAGGGAGGGTGGATATTGATATCAGGGAGGGTGATATTGATATCAGGGAGAGTGATATTGATATCAGGGAGGGTGATATTGATATCAGGGAGAGTGATATTGATATCAGGGAGGGTGATATTGATATCAGGGAGAGTGATATTGATATGAGGGAGGGTGATTTTGATATAAGGGGGGGGGTGGATATTGATATCAGGGAGGGTGATATTGATATCAGGGAGAGTGATATTGATATTAGGGAGAGTGATATTGATACCACTAAGGTTGATATGGATTTCATGGGTAGTGGGGAGGGACAGGTAGAGGGGAGGGACAGGTAGTGAGGAGGGACAGGTAGAGCGCACGTAAATAGGTAGAGGAGGGACAGGTAGAGGGGAGGGACAGGTAGTAAGGAGGTACAGGTAGTTAGGAGGAACAGGTAGAGGGGAGGGACAGGTAGAGGGGAGGGACAGGTAGTGAGGAGGGACAGGTAGAGGGGAGGGACAGGTAGTGAGGAGGGACAGTTATAGGGGAGGGACAGGTAGAGGAGGGACAGGTAGAGGGGAGGGACAGGTAGTAAGGAGGTACAGGTAGTGAGGAGGGACAGGTAGAGGGGAGGGACTGGTAGTGAGGAGGGACAGGTAGAGGGGAGGGACAGGTAGTGAGGAGGTACAGGTAGTGAGGAGGGACAGGTAGAGGGGAGGGACAGGTAGTAAGGAGGTACAGGTAGTGAGGAGGGACAGGTAGAGAGGAGGGACAGGTAGAGGGGAGGGACAGGTAGTGAGGAGGGACAGGTAGAGGGGAGGGACAGGTAGTGAGGAGGGACAGTTATAGGGGAGGGACAGGTAGTGAAGAGGGACAGGTAGAGGGGAGGGACAGGTAGTAAGGAGGTACAGGTAGTGAGGAGGGACAGGTATTGGATTCGGGGTATAAACATAACTCTATTGTCCTGTTTATATACCGACCCTTCCCCACACTATTACCGTATAATGTTTTTCATCCTTTATTTCCAATTAAGCCAGCTGCATCGACCATGGGAGGAAAATCGTCCAAGGGGACAGTCCAACCTGTCAGCATTGTACAGGCCCCTCAAGCAGGACAAGAAAATATCTTTAAGGTAATCTTTACCTATGATACACCAGGACACGTTTAGTTCTGACCACCACAATTACTCATTAGTAATGGAACATTTCGGTGGGTGGGGTGGATGAGTAACGACGTTGTGTAAGAAATGTCAGAATCATGTCCTAGCAGGTAGACATAATTACATATGGCGATGTCTAATGCTAGATGTAAGACTGGGATCATGCTTCCACGAAACGAAGTGTAATTTAATAATTCATGAAACTACAGCGGTGTTTTTGGTGTGTCTACCAAGACTATTCAGCTTTATAATGTAATTCTATTCATATGCATATTACATTCATTACATAACTTGTTTTATTCCGAACTTGTATGCATTAACATTCTGCCTGTTTATTTTATTATCTGTACCAAAACATTAAATCGTGTATCAAATCATTTAAACCCTTTTCCAGTTATGTTTAGGGTACCATTATTTCGGATCTTCGTCCTTCGCTCTCGGTTCTGTTTTATCTAAACTCTTACTTTATATTCTTCAGACTGATGTACCAGATTTTATCAACAGTTACCCACCACCTAAACCTCCACCCAACAAAAAAGCCGACATATTACTAAATTTGGATTTGAAATCAGCAGACCAGCATGCCAGATCGGTAAGAGAAATGTCACTAATGATACAATAACAGTGTGTAACATTAGTTATCCCAGGGACTGCAAATTCTACCTGTTTTCTAACGTCAACCACCGATATTGGTTCTGTCAGATACACTAGGATGTATATAAAATTAATGTTATGTGTGTTCTCATATAAATGAAAAGGCTGCTAATCTTGATACGTACAACAAACAATTACAATAGAAACCACTAAAAAAATCCATATTTGCTGTCATTAATAGTGTATTAGCAGTTGTTTTTACGTAAGCCATATTTTTTTTAAAAAATTAAGGTCAGTCCCGACTCTGCGAAAACGATGCCGGACTTGGTGACCAAGTTGGTTCAGCCTTTCAACAAAAATGGTGTGTTGAAGGTCAGAGCAATTTTTATGTGGATTGCAACCCACAGAAATCAGAACTTGATCCCTAAAAATGTGACGCCAGATTCTCCCCTTGGACACCTTCAGCTCATGTCTGTCAACCAGTTAACACTTTCGGAAATGTTTACCATCATGTGTCGGTACGTGAAGAGCTAACGATTTCATCCAATGAACAGCACTTACGAATCACACTGTCATTATCATATAAATGTTTTCTCTTATAAAGTAACAAAATTATCTTTTTGATTTGAAACAAGTAACATATCATGCTGCTGAAAAAAACTCCATGAGAATGACTTTCAATCAAGACATCCCTGCAGTAAAATGCATATGGCAATTTCGTATAACAAATTAATTCTTTACTTCTCAATTCGACTTTCAGGGCAGCGAAGATTCCGTGCGTGATCATCCGAGGCATGGCAAAATCTGCGGCGTATGAAGTTGGGGATGAGGACGTAGAAGGACTGCGGAATAGCTGGAACGCTGTATACGTGGCAAAGGGTTGGCGACTTGTGTTCCCTCTGTGGGCCATGTCAGCTTTGGTGGGCAAGAGCACAGGGGCCTGGACACTGGTGGAGACAAAAGGTTGTTCATGCCTTTATACTGTATTTTATCTTTATTTCAAGGTATTTTCAATAAGACAACTGTAAATAACACTTATCAATACAGATGGAAGACAACTTATGAATACCGATATATTAATGAAACTGTATTACACGGATGTGTTTGTTAACTCTCGTCAGTCGGTGATGCTAGGTCAAAACGTTTGGATATCGAGAAGGGATATGATGAAAGATGGTCTGTAGGAAAACGAAATTTGAATGGGGTATGGTGATAGATACACGAAATTAAGGGAAATCTGTCTGATTTATATCTTATCAGAAATCGCCAATACGTATTTTGTCCACAGGTATTGATTTATGTGGAAAACCTCTACAAAAATGGGATATATATTTAAACAATTGAGGAAAAATTAATTTGTTTTCGTAAAGTTGATATAACATCCTGACAAACTGTGGCTGAAAATGCATGCAGTGTCAAAAGTTATAATCATCTGTGAAATAGTAATTTTATTATCAACAATACCATCATACCTTTAAGATAAACATATGAAGATGATTTGCAGCTTAATTTTATTTAGGTCAGGGTGTCCGTCAGAAGGAGGAGCAGTCCGAGGGCGTTAACATAGCAACTGTGAATGATTACTATTTCTTGACAAACCCTGACGAATTCATCTATCGTTGTTTCCCGGACGATGAAAACTGGCAGCTGATACAGATGCCCATGTCTAAGAGGAAGTATATTGACTGTCCGTACTTCCGGCCTACCTTCTTCACTCGTAAACTCCAAGTGATCAATAAAACGAAGGGTATTGTTCAGACCCGTGAGGGCAAGTGCAGTATTACATTAAGGCCTTTGAATGATGCAGATCCGGTCTCACTCTCTTACGAACTCTTCTTCAATCATAAAGAATCTGACGAGGAGATACCTGCAGACATACAACTAGACAAATATGTAGCTATTATGAATGATAAAGAGAAAACAATGTTCGATATGAGATTTCCCGTGAAAGGTATTTATAAATTAACGGTGCTAGATTCTGATCAGGAATGGATCTGTTTCTTTAAAATTGTGTGTAATAAAGCAAGACTTCGTTGTGAACCGTTCCCGATAAATACGGAGATAGGGTTTGGTCCTACAAAAGAGACAATCGAGGCGGGACTAGAGCCTGAGACACACACCAAGGGAGTCGTTGGCATACGTGGTAGACAGTCTATAGAGATGAGATTTACCCTCACAAAACGCGTGGAAGTTAAAACATCCCTAGTGCATAATAACATACCCAGTGAAGAACTTGAGGAACATATCATCCAGAAACAGACAAATAGTGCACTCACGTTACATGTCAGTGTTCCAAAGAATGGGGAGTATGCCCTGCAGGTGAATGCCAAGGACAAGGGCACAAACGAGCCGAGTAGAAACATTTGTAATTACCTACTATCATCAGAGGGCCCCAACAAGAAACAGCGCGAATACGAGGTAAAGATATAACAAAAAGGATTCCATGTAACGTAGAATAAAAAGCAGGACGACTTTATGTTGTACGCAATTTTTTCCCCAAATGAATATTATTCCTGAATGATGAGACCTATGAATATACTCAGAAAAAGATTATTGGTAAGTAATTAATTAACAATAAGACACATTATTTTTTTCAGTTGTCATACATTAGATACAGTGTAACGCTATCAATCCTACCTGTAATAAGCAGCCGTCCCACCTATATAACACATTGCGAGGTCATTTTCTATTTGTTTATAGAACCCATTAGAGAAGAAGGCACGCGACAATCTCCAAGCCTTACTGTCGTCTACAGACGTACTCGCATTACAGAGGACGCTTGACAATTTCAATGCTTTAGATGTGGAGGACACCACTGGGGTAGTACAACAGGCCCAGTACAGAATAGAGTTTTTACAGCTACAACAAGGTGTGGTTATAGTACCCTAGATTTAATATTTACCTCTTCACAGGTAATAATATATATATGTATCTCGTACAACATTCGTACCTCAGACGCTGTCGTTTTATGCAAATATGGTATGGGCTTTAGGCCTTCGGAATCCCGAAATCTGGAAAATAATTAAAGGGACTCAGACGCTGTCGTTTTATGCAAATATGGTATGGGCTTTAGGCCTTCGGAATCCCGAAATCTGGAAAATAATTATAGGGCCTCAGACGCTGTCGTTTTATGCAAATATGGTATGGGCTTTAGGCCTTCGGAATCCCGAAATCTGGAAAATAATTATAGGGCCTCAGACGCTGTCGTTTTATGCAAATATGGTATGGGCTTTAGGCCTTCGGAATCCCGAAATCTGGAAAATAATTATAGGGCCTCAGACGCTGTCATTTTATGCAAATATGGTATCGGTTTTAGGCCTTCGGGATTTCGCAAAGACGAATGTTGTTGTTTTATTGACTGCAGATCTGACATTAGCAAATGTTGCTCATACATAACACAGATAATTAATATCGAAAATCTAATAATCTGTACATTTACTGCATCGTATACAATGTGCTAAACATGTTTAACCTTAGCATTTTGTATCTACAGCACTGAAAACCGCCATTCTGAGAGAAAATATCGAGTTACTGGAAGCTGCTATAGATAAGGCGAGTTCATCAGGTCACAGAAATGCCCTCCAGGTCAAGATAGCCGAGGCAACTGAAATTCTCGAGAAACTTCGTAAACTCAAGAGGTACACACACGATGTGTTGGCGATGAAACAGTCGACGATATCAGAGATTCACCGTTATCAGGTACCAAAAGATATCATCTTCGACGTGATGAAGGCGACCTTTCTGATGCTAGGAGAGAAAGGAGAAAATTTAGAGGTTTGTTAATGACAGCTTATGTCAAAAGCCAAGAAAATCAGAAGAATTTAAAGCAAATCTTTATTCAAATCTATACACAACAATATGGCTATTTGTAGCTACAGACTGACAACTTGTTATAGTTTTATTATTAACGATTATGTTCCCGTAACACAAAGATTAGAATACATTTGACGAATATCTTTCTGTCTCGGTGTTGAACTGTTGAATATTAAACACACATAAAACTACATGTATATAACTGATAACCCATTCTGTGGTGTTGTGATATAAATCACCTTAAAAAAACTGTACCCGAAACAAGGTATCACTAATGTTTTTCTTATTTGTTACTATTTTTGTCCTGTCATTTATGCCAAATATCATGGCTTTTTACAGCATTATGATAATTAGTGTTATGATAACAATGTATAAGTATTATTGTACTATCACAGTACTGGGATTATCTGCAGTCCATGATGAGGCGAGCCGGAAGAGACAGCCTCCTAGCCCGAATAAGGAAGATGAATTATGACAATATCGACGAGAAGACGATAAAGAGAGCGATGAATCTTATTACTCCGTACGATATGGAGGCGGTGACGACGGCCAGTGCTGGTGCTGGCACCTTCTACAAATGGGTATGTAAAACGTACACAACCAATATAAAATTGTTAATGTAAAATCACCCATAACTCTATATAATAACATTTACACATTCATAATGACAGTGCTATAATTTGTAGTCATTTTTTAATTGTATTTTCCTGTTTCATTGTTCGGTTTATAAATCACGATTCTTGCTCAGATCTTTTTTTCTTTAATGCAGATAACTAATCTGTCATCAGCCGGAGTAGGAGAGAGTTCCGAAAAAGGTTCCACCGAGAAGCTAACACAACAAAGTCCTCGTTATGGAGGAGAGGATCAGATCTCGATAGGTCAGATGGGCATGCAGGCGTCAGTCCCGAGTATTGTTATAGAAGATACGGACGGCTACTGAAAGCTTGTTTATGGATGGTCCAGTCTCCCCGGAAATACTGCAGGCTACATGTTAACTTAAAGAAAATTACAGATTCTACCACTGCTGAAGGAAACTTTTCCAACGCCATATAACTGACTCGATGTACATCTGTTGTTTTTTAGGAATTCGAATTTTCACCATTCGTAACGTTATAATGAAACAGACAATTATAAATACACTCTCTCATATTGAGGTATCATGGTGAAAAAATTGAAACACATGCATTGTTTGTCTATGATTATAAAATTTAGGATTGGAATGTAGAACTGTGTAGAAAGGCTGTAGAACATGTCGACAAACAGAACAATAAAAGTCTATTAGAACAAAAATTAACATCCAGGGCTAGTGGTAAACAGACAAGAGGTTGGCCTTTTTATTTCAGGTATCTATGATGCACGTGTCTTTATACGACCCGTGCAGAAACACTTTTAACAGAGTGATGCAATTACTTTCGGTTATCGTACAATAATTATGGAGAGCCTACAGTGAAAATTTCAGACAAAACACAGGTCAGAATGTAGTAAGGCTAGGCCTATTTACAAGAAATTCCAACGACCAAACGGTCTATTCTTTTGCTTGATAATCAAACAATCAGGGCTATATGTTATCATTATATAGCATAAGTTATGTTTTCACCGAATGTTGAGCTCGATTATATTGTTAGATATTGAGAAAAAAGAAAAAGAAATCTTTATGAAATATTAATAATGTAAAATGTCTATATTTCCCAATATATTTAAGATTTGTAACCCAAATAATACAGTCACTTCTGGTTCGTGTGTAATATCATACCCTTTAAGTAACACATTAAGTTGACGTTGTCCATCTCACAACGGCATCAATTAATTATTCCAAGTGTTGTGTAACATTATTAAGAATGTGACAGTTTTTCATTGTCTGAAAGGATGAACTTTGATCGAAAAGGCACTGCCCGGAAATTAGGACGCGCTAAAAGTAGTTCGCTTTAAAGGAAAACACGTCTTTATTTGGATTTCTAACATTCGTTCTTGTCTTAAAAGATAACAAAATAATTAATTTCTGGTGACAATCTATAATGAGTTCTGATATCAAGATATATTTCTTAAGTTGTCAGTTTTGTATATTAATTAGCGCAGATCGTATCAGAACTTCCCGTTTTCACGTTGGTACAGAACGAGTTAAATCAACTCTCGTTAGCTCTCGTGTGACTTTATGTACCTTCCCTTCACCCCTGATGTTTACTCTGATTGTTTTATAGTCTTGTAAGTGGAGCATTATAGTGTAAGTACACAATCTTATGTGAGATATTTTAGAGGTCATCTAATGTTAAGTTTGTTGGCTAATTCTACCTTTGTACTGTTGCCCCATTTCTCTGTGTATAGTTATATCATTATTCATTCAGTACTACATGTAAAGTGTGAAATTAAGATATCCCTTTTCTACTTAAAGATGTCCAAACAAAGACCGGTTCACATTAAAACAACGAAACGAAACTGACCTGTTTTTGACGCCTCACCTTTGAACAGCGTGTAAACTATATATTTTACACTATCAGTAGAAAATGCTGTGTACAAGTAATTACAAGTTACATGAATCATTCTAATTGCCCCGGATGAGAGCGCGTGTGGGGTCGTATTGTGGGAGTTTACCGGAACTACCAAGGAAAGCCCTCAGAGTAGGGCAAGCGACCTCGTACACCTTTAAACGTCCTATCGGTAAATCGTATCTCGGCCGACGTCTAAGTGAATGGCGAGTACGTAGCTACTGTGTAACATGTCAATCCAAAATTTAAAACTTCAATATGCAACATTTTCCAATATCGTTATCTTTAAAAACCATCCCGTTTGGGATGACTTTTAGATACATCGTATGGCATGGTGCTAGTCTTCAGGCTGTACTCCAAGTTTGTAAGGAATAAGACTATCTTTCCAATGTTCTATACTTTGTAACACGTGATATTACCGGAACACAATGTCAGTACTTGTTTTTACTATTGTTGTACAAGCCACTTCCGTTATCGACGACTGAAGTAGTAACTGGTCAATACCAATAACACAAACACGGATAGTGTTACTAATGCCACTTCTGGTAGTTACTCAGACATAGAACAAACGATTTGATATCGTTAACATTTAGGCCAAACGGGGTAGTATTAGACATGGATGTTTTATTAATCAGACGGTATTATAAGACAAACCCTGAAAAGCAAATGTGTGTCATTAACAGACCTTTTAAGTCATATAGTTTCTTTGAAGGTACTTAAGTACAATGAGAAAACTTTCATGTGTTCGGACTCACAGCATATCACACACACTGTATTAATGTATCGAAACACAAAGCCCTATGTGTTCCAGTAACTAACATGATTTTCCGTACACAATGAATACTATAAAAAGACCTTCAGGAAACGATAATTATACAGGTCAAGTTGACCAAACGTGGTTATGCCGTCATTCCGATGACGGAGCTGACGATAAGGACGCTTTCCGCAAAACAGATCGATAACACAAGTTGTTTTACCTGTTGATACAGCTACAACTAGTAGACATGGAAACCTGACAGAATACTGTGACACGGAACTACTTGTTTTCTGTAACAACTTTCGATGAATTGTTATCTAGGTTAAGAATGACGAAGTCACATAAATAAAACGTGAAAATGAGAGAAACCAGCGGATTTATACTTCTCCGGCGGTCGGAATTGTTACATAATCACGGATTATTAATATGCTTCACAAAAAAAGGACAATTCACGCAGAAAGACACATCAACAAGGCTTCAGTCTCATTGCTTTGAACACCAATAGGAAGGTGTAAAACAGGTATAACACAACAAAGTCCTGGTGAATGGCAGCTCAGGTGTTAATTACAGGTAAGTAGGCAGCTCAGGTATCAATTACAGGTAAATTTATAATTATAAAGTATAAGAGGAGAGGCTTGACCATACATATGCTACCGCTGTATTTGTTATACAACATGACTACTGAACCCTATCTATGTTTTACGGATGTTATTGTTCAGAGAGAGGCATTAGGCTTCATCAAAACATTATGTTTTGGAAACAAAAATACATGGTTTGTTAATCAGTACCATGAATATCGGAGAATCGAATCATTCAAACATTTTATTTAAAATCTTACTTAATCTTTATATTGTACTGTTTATGCTATGCAAGTGATCTGTAAATGCATTGTTTGATATTGATCGAACACAGGTTCTACCAAATATCATGCAGTCGACATAACACAGATACTACCAGTTATCATACAGCCGACACAACACATGTTCTACCAGTTATCATACAGCCGACACAACACATGTTCTACCAGTTATCATACAGCCGACATAACACAGAAACTACCAGTTATCATACAGCCGACACAACACAGGTTCTACCAGTTATCATACAGCCGACACAACACAGGTTCTACCAGTCATCATACAGCAGACACAACACAGGTTCTACCATTCATCATACAGCCGACACAACACAGGTTCTACCAGTCATCATACAGCCGACACAACACAGGTTCTACCAGTCATCATACAGCCGACACAACACAGGTTCTACCAGTCATCATACAGCCGACACAACACAGGTTCTACCATTCATCATACAGCCGACACAACACAGGTTCTACCAGTCATACAGCAGACACAACACAGGTTCTACCAGTCATCATACAGCCGACACAACACATGTTCTACCAGTTATCATACAGCCGACATAACACAGGTTCTACCAGTCATCATACAGCAGACACAACACAGGTTCTACCATTCATCATACAGCCGACACAACACAGGTTCTACCAGTCATCATACAGCCGACACAACACAGGTTCTACCATTCATCATACAGCCGACACAACACAGGTTCTACCAGTTATCATACAGCCCACACAACACAGGTTCTACCATTCATCATACAGCCGACACAACACAGGTTCTACCAGTCATCATACAGCCGACACAACACAGGTTCTACCAGTCATCATACAGCCGACACAACACAGGTTCTACCATTCATCATACAGCCGACACAACACAGGTTCTACCAGTCATCATACAGCCGACACAACACAGGTTCTACCAGTTATCATACAGCCCACACAACACAGGTTCTACCATTAATCATACAGCCGACACAACACAGGTTCCACCAGTCATCATACAGCCGACACAACACAGGTTCTACCAGTCATCATACAGCCGACACAACACAGGTTCTACCAGTCATCATACAGCCGACACAACACAGGTTCTACCAGTCATCATACAGCCGACACAACACAGGTTCTACCAGTCATCATACAGCCGACACAACACAGGTTCTACCAGTCATCATACAGCCGACACAACACAGGTTCTACCAGTCATCATACAGCCGACACAACACAGGTTCCACCAGTCATCATACAGCCGATACAACACAGGTTCTACCAGTCATCATACAGCCGACACAACACAGGTTCTACCAGTCATCATACAGCCGACACAACACAGGTTCTACCAGTCATCATACAGCCGACACAACACAGGTTCGTTCTACCAGTTATCCAGACACAACACAGGTTCTACCAGTCATCACACAACACAGGTTCTACCAGTCATCATACAGCCCACACAACACAGGTTCTACCAGTCATCACACAGCCGACATAATACAGGTTCTACCAGTCATCATACAGCCGACATAACACAGGTTCTACCAGTCATCATACAGCCCACACAACACAGGTTCTACCAGTCATCATACAGCCGACACAACACAGGTTCTACCAGTCATCATACAGCCGACACAACACAGGTTCTACCAGTTATCATACAGCCGACACAACACAGGTTCCACCAGTCATCATACAGCCGACATAACACAGGTTCTACCAGTCATCATACAGCCGACACAACACAGGTTCTACCAGTCATCATACAGCCGACACAACACAGGTTCTACCAGTTATCATACAGTAGACACAACACAGGTTCTACCAGTTATGAT